TAATTTGACCTATTACTCATGAAAATTGGTAGTCAATTATAAAAATGAGAGCTTGTGAAAATCAGTAACATTGAAAATTGTCACTTTGTATAAACATCTCCAATACTGCTGAGAAAGTTTTCAAAGAATGCAGATCCTCCAGGAAGATATTGCCACCATGCTTCTGCCAAATAACTTGATAGATGCTGCTCACTGGTCCCTTTCATTGATAGGAATCCAACGATCTGGACACCCAGTGACACACACTTAGAAACCAAATTCTACAAGGTCAGGTCATACCCCACAGGCACATAAAAATCCAAACAGCAGGAGACCAAAAAGTGAAGGGGTAGAGCAATGCCATTCAGTAGAGCACCAACTGCAATAATACTCTTCAATAATGTATGGGTTTTGGTCACTCATAAGCTGTAAAACTTGTAAAATAAAGTGGCTCTCAGACAGCCTAAGCTGATCCCGCACTTTGTCACCATCCTATATGAAGGATTCAGATTTTACACCCTTGAATGGTTTCTCATGGCACTTGAAGTTGGCTAAGCTAAATATCCAAACACACACACAAAAAAGTAAATAATGTAAGTCTGAAATCACTAATATCCATTATCCTTGAATAAGTTCTAGAATTAATTTGTAAATATATTTTGGATTTGCAACATAGCTGCTCATTCTGTATGTCAGGCTGACTAAGGAAATGGAATGTTGATGGTTCCTTTTGCTCATAACATCCTAGGCTTTTATTTGTTTATTTTCTGTGTTTTGAATTTGATTCATATTCTTTGTAAATTCAGTTTTAAAGTGTATGTCAGCTTTCTTTTTATTTATCATTTAATCTACAGCTTGCCGTTAATGAGTCTATATTGATTTCTAAGATTATTTTCTGTGTTTTGAATTTGATTCATATTCTTTGTAAATTCAGTTTTAAAGTGTATGTCAGCTTTCTTTTTATTTATCATTTAATCTACAGCTTGCCGTTAATGAGTCTATATTGATTTCTAAGATCCTTCTTCCATTTTGTATCTTGTCAATCTTTTTTCTTTTCTTTTTTTTAGCACTTGTATTTACAGGTCTCTTTATGTATCTCCTTCACATACTGAAGAGTATTGTTTGAATCTATTGAATTTTTGCATGCCTTGCAAGGGTAATAGGTATTTAATAAAGAAGCAGTCATGTTTTGTCTGACATTCATATAATATTTCCAAGTCTTCCATAAAGAAGTATGTGGTATTATCACATGGCTTTTGTTTCTTAATAGTCCCTTTGAAAATGTGGACTTCATTAGTCCAAGAGGAAAGGTATTGACCTCATTTCTATGTTCTGCTCTGGCAGGACCAAAGAGTCTCCTTTTTTTTAAATCAGATTCAATAGAATGTGGGGTAGAAATAACCTCTTGTTCGGTGTAACCATGGAGTTTGTAAAGGAAAGCCAATTTGGGCAAATTATTTGTTTGGAGGGTTAAAGCTTTGCTGCTATTTCCACAATTTAGCATGTGGCATGATGAAATCTTACGAAAACACTTGAAATCGAAAAAGTAAACGGAACGTAACGAGAAAGAGTTACACTTAATCTGTACTTACGTACAGGTAAAAACGGAGACGACGATGAAAAGAGAAAGCAACCGGTATTGTACTCTCAAGTTACAACTTAAATTTTTTTAATAAGCCCCCAAAATTTTGACTCCTTGGGAAGTCTTGGGAAGGAAGTATTGAATTGGCCAGATCTGCACTAAATAAGGTACTGTGGGGGGTTCCAAATTTTGAAACACCACCTAATCTATGACCATCCCTGAACCAAATAAGGAAGCCATGGAAAGTTTGGTTGAACTGGGATCAGAGGTATGGTCATGCATAACGGACAGACACACACAAACACTCTAGAATATATTAGTATAGATAGATAGATATCAGACCTAAAATAAAATATTTCTTCTGCTAGACGTTTCACTGGAACCCTTTCTCTGACTGAGATCTACTTGAAATTCTACCATTTCTGGTTTTGACATTTCACTTTGGTGAAATGTCAAAAATGCACATAATAAAATTTGTTATTTTAACGAAAAACATCACCACAGCTATTGTTGAGAGGAATAAGTTTTATGTGATCCACAGGGTCTTTCCACAATGTAGAACTTTCTTGCAGTAGTTATATAATAATTGTTTGAAATAAACCGTGTTTGTACGTAACTTTACCCGTAATTGATAGTAACTTCTACAGTGAATTCTCCATATGTTGCCCACCAGCATAGTAGGACCACAAGATTCAATGTGCCATGTGTTCAAAAGCATGATGTCCAAAAGCTATTTCTGAAATAGTTTTTTCAAAATTTCTTCTTGGCATATAAATATTGAATTTGTAGCTTCAAAGCTACCATAAGTAACATCAGCCTGAAATTAGCATCCAAGAACCAAAATGATTGGTTGACTTGAATCATATGATTAAAATCATTTATATCAACCAACCCTGCTTATGGGTGGATTTTAATAGCTCCTAGCATAGTGGATCATTTGGAATGTGAGCCTCTATCTGCTCCTGTTGGGTATCATTCTCTTTTAAGGAACCCTTTACTAGTGGAGTGATGCAAAGAGACACCATGCACCATAGAAGTTCCCCAACCATACAGTTTCCTAAAGAAGGCTGCATAATCTAGAAAACTAATATAATCCCTTGTGCTTTGCCAAAATAGTATGCAGCAGGAAGGGACTGTATATTTTTTTCCTTGTGCTTTCTGCACTCTAACAGAGCATTTTAGATAATTTGGAATTGATTATTCATCTATACACTGTACAGTGTGACTGTTTTTACCCTCTTGGTGGATACAGCTAGTCCTTCTTGAGTTCAATACCCAGGAAAGGATCAGCAAATTCTATAGGCTTATGTGGAAAATTCATTTCTTTGGAATTACCTCATGAAATGCTTTTCTCCCATGACTTGGAATGTTTTAGGCCTTGTCAGGTTGCAGATGTAGTAAAACCAAGCCTTGTGGCCATATCACATGGTAGGCTTGAACTTTATAATCGAAGAAACTCCAGGCAGTGTAGCACCCATGTCATCAGTATGCCAACTGCAACAGGCAGTACCAGCACCCACCATTTACCAACTAATGAGGAATGTGGGATTCGTGAAGTTTGGGGCTACAATTTGGAAGATGAATTCAAGCATGTCAGGAAGCTTGTTACTAAATACAACTACATTGCCATGGACACTGAGTTCCCTGGGGTGGTTGCTCGGCCCATTGGGGAGTTCCGCAGCACATCAGATTACCAGTATCAGCTCCTCAAGTGCAATGTTGATCTTCTGAAAATCATTCAACTTGGGCTGACATTCCTGGATGAAAATGGGAAGACTCCTCCAGGGTATTCCACATGGCAGTTCAATTTTAAGTTCAACTTGACAGAAGACATGTATGCAGAAGACAGCATTAATTTGCTGCAGAACTCTGGCATTCAGTTCAAGCGGCACCAAGAACAGGGAATTGAACCTGTGGAATTTGCTGCTCTTCTACTTTCATCAGGTGTTGTGTTGATGGATAATGTGGTCTGGTTGTCCTTTCACAGTGGTTATGATTTTGGCTACCTCATCAAGATCTTGACAGACCAGAACTTGCCCAGTGAAGAGAGCGAGTTCTTTGAATTTCTCAGGCTATACTTCCCTTCCATTTATGATGTCAAGTACCTGATGAAATCCTGTCGCAATCTGAAAGGAGGTCTTCAGGAGGTAGCAGAGCAGCTAGATTTGGAGAGAATTGGCCCTCAGCATCAAGCAGGCTCTGATAGCCTACTCACTGGGTCTGCTTTCTTTAAGATGAAGGAACTCTTCTTTGAAGACAACATTGATGATTTCAAATACTGTGGGCACCTGTATGGACTTGGTACAAGCTTTGTCACCAATGGAAATGGGTACATGGATTCGGGGGATCATGAGCATCCCAAGTCCACATCTGCTTGATATGGATCTCTTGCTATTTTTTTTCTTTCCTCTGAAATCTCCCATTCTGTAAGGGTGAGACAGTGACGACCCATGTCCATCCAAATATCTCAAATGTTTGTACAATTTGTGTCCTCTTGTTCAGGAATGTGACCTCTTTCACAAATGCTGTTTCTTTTACCATCATTTGTTCTTCATTGTACAATACTGGTGTCTCAGAAGAAAGATTTCATAAGTCACCATATCTGATCATGAATGACCAAGGGTTATGTGTTAATAGCTTGCTTTTCTTGGACCATAGAATGCATTCCGGTTCCCAAAATATGGAGTACTTTAAGTGCTTCATCAACGTGATCCATGATCCCTTTTCTCCCGCTGATTCCTCTGTTAAATTTCTTTATGCTAAATATTCAGGACCATGAAGAATGGCATGTTTTCTGCCTCTGAAAATGTTCTGGTTTTCCAGCTCTAGTTCTGATGGTATAGCTCCATGTGAACTTTGAGCTGGCAGCTGAGATGCTGACCTATCAAGTTCAGTCACATTTGTGCCTGAGCTTTGCCAAGTTTCTGATCATTCTTTCTGATTGGTAATGGGTTGTAAATTTTGTGTGACAGATGAAAATTCTGAAAAACCTTGCAATGTTTGATGTGACATGTACCATTTTAGCTATGGGAAGAGGGCTGTGGATGACAAAGGATGGAGTAAAATTGATCCTTTTTTATCTTGATCCAGTGAGATATCTTTCCCAGCTGCATGGTGGAAGGAAGATATATATTATGTAAATGAGTGTGATGACTGAAGAAGGGGAGAATGAAGAATCCCAAGTTTTCCCTTTTAAGTCCCATTTTTTCTTTCACCTCATGAGGATGTTATTTTGGTGTCTTTAACTCAGACTCACCTTCACAGTGATGCAGTTGTAGCATGCCAGTAGAGGCAAGGAACACCCAGTATTGACAATCTTACAGAAATATGTACTTCCCTATATGACTTTGAAACCTCTACTATATACTTCAAATTTGCTATGGGAATCTCTTTGAAACATTGGGATATTGCTCATTAGATGTAAAATAAGGAAAATATTGTTATTCTTGGATTCCTCATTGCGAATTGCCCAAGGAGGCCTTCTCTGTTTTGTGGGTTAAGACCCCATGGTTAGCTGGAAAGTGGTTGAACATAAATTAAATCATTTTTCAGAATCATATCCAGGAATAATGTTTGATATCAGGCAAACAACTTTCTGTTTGTAGGATTCTTGGAGGGGAGGGCTCAGTATTCAGGTTGTTTAATGACGAGTGGAAGGGAGGGTCATGGTGGGGGTAGGCCCCCCTCTGCCCCTGTCTGAAGTTTTGCTTTGTTTTCAGGTAACCAAAAGTTCATCCGAAGAAGCCAAGGTGGCATAAGCGGTTATTCAAACGGATTGAACGTAGTGGAGAACTTTTTTTTAGACGTATTTATTCATCTAAGAAATCCTGAATTACCACTTCTCGGTAGAAAACTGTCCACTAAACTGTATGGCTTGTATTATATTAAATTTCCGTATCATTCAGCACAGATGAGGTACAGCAGAGTCTCCTGGCTTTTCTTTACAATGCTTTCAGGTCAAGTTTTGACAGTTTAAGTTTAGATTTAGTTTTAGAATAAGTATAGTAGAAGCAAGGAACAGGTTCCTGGACTCGTTCTCAGTATTTTATTTTATTATCAACTTCACTACAATTCTCAACAATTTCTTCATTGCCGCAGTCAAAAGAAAGCACGTGTTCTATCTATTGCTGCCGCAAAACACCTGTGACGTTATAGGACACCATTTCTACGGAGCATTTAATGTTTCCATGGAGGAAATATTATATTTGAGGCCTGGACCTAAGTAGTTCCTAAGGTTTCTCAACAAATAGCAGAACACATTGAGTTAGTATTTCTATACAGAGAGCTCACTACCCTAGTAGCACATAACATTGAAACAACATTGATTCAGCGTTGATTCAACATCCGGACGTTGAATCAATGTTATGTGCTACTAGGGTAAACGCTAAAAAAGAGGGAAACTTAAACCGTACGTTTACTGTCGTAGCAATGAGACCACTACAATAGGAGACCGCATACGTACGGACATAGCATTTAAATGGCTAAACCCCCCTTGCTCTGGCCCATAAACAAAGCATGAACATATTCTGTTACATAAGCAATGCTATGTATACAGGGAGGCCGATCTAGAGGTTTGCATTTCGTGTTGTCGGTCCCCACTGGGCATTACGCAGGTGCATCGCACACAACCTTTCATTCAGGGTTGCTCAGTCAAAATTTTCACATCCTTTCATGTCTATGCTGTAGCCAAAGTGAAAACGTTCTGTTTACCTCTGTGATGCATTTTCTGCAATCAATCCAATTTGCGGTCCCCACACGTTCACCAGATGTATTTCTAGTTTCATATGATCCAGCGTGAAGTTTCAGCATGATGCGCATTCGCTACGGCTCCGCGCCTGAGACTCTTGAGGCTCCGCGCGAAACCACTTGGGAACAGTTCTTTTGAAGAGACTCGAGTCGATTCACCCGACGCAGACCTCAGTGAAAGGAAGGACATCACCGATCATCTTTTTAGCCTCTAACGCAAGTATGAGGACATCGGGTCATCCCCTCTTGGTATTCACCCATGTGTTAATAACACAGTAATTTTATTTGCGGGCTTTTTGAGATATAATATTGAGCAAACCCAAAAGTTTTTTTCCTTCGTAATTTAGTTAAGAATAGTATCCAGGTATCAACTGTCGAAAGAAGGAAGATTATTATCGTGTAGTTACTTATGGCTCACCCTGCATATAGGAAAATATACAGAGCCTCTTGCGTAATAACATGAAGTTCGCATATCGCACGAGCGTATCTTGAACGGGAATCTTTCCTGACGGGGCCGTGAAGCGGTTTTTTAACCGGTCAGTTTTTTTACTCTTCTTCAGAGTAGCTGGTCGTTGATGGAAATTTGCTGTTTCTCCGTTTAAGTCAAGATATAGTCTCTAGAAATTGTACCTTCGAGCCACCACTACAGTGATGTGCCTGTTGATCACATTCGTTTTAGACTTAAGAGTACTTCATCCTTAATCCTCCCAGGCCCGTGCTACGTATCCGAACGACCCCAGTTTATTTCAGTGTCAAACTTCTGACTGCGATATTTATGTAGTGTCCGTTTATATGTTTTTGAGGATTTCAGATGAAGCACGAGGTAAATAGTTCCACTGAGTTATTACACAAAACGTATGGAATGTCAAAACTACCCCACACGGGCCTAGGAGGGTTAATGTCATTAACTCCAGCCTTGACAGACATCGATGACGTCTCCGTCGAAATGAGGATTAATCGTGGTAGACATTGAGGCGAAATTCAGACGAGGTCTTACTATCGTTCATGAGACAGGTCCTTCCTGCTTCAATTTTGTCGCTGCGCGGAATCATTACCACAGCATTAGTCCACAAAGACGAACCGTTAGTAGTTCGTGAACTCAATGAAATGAGGCTATAGCCTATAGAACCGCGGTTTTCGAATATTTTGTTGTGTACCTCCTTTAAGCCCTTTAAGACCACTTCGCATTTGCTAGCAGTCTGCGCATCCCCGCTCCTCCTTATAAAAAAGGATGCAAGGGAGGGGGAGTACCGGCGAGTACTTTTCTCATTTCTTTGGCCGTGTACTTGCTCATTGTTCTTATTTGCCCGCATACATTCTTGCCGAAATAACAATTTTACTCTGGAATCTTCATGCCCCATACTCTCTCACCCTCTTGGGGGAGTTGACATCTCAAAGTCTGCTGGCCAAAGGATGTTGCAAAACTAACTTGCTATTTTTATTTTTGTCGCATCTTTCAGGTAGCCAAAACCATTCGAAGAACTGTGAAAGTGTGGCCAGTGGTATGTGAACATGATTCATGAGACTGAGAGTGCTGCAAAGGAACCAAAAGGTAGTGCAAATTCAATCTGTTCAGCCTTCCCAAGGAAAGGTCAAGGCCTAGTCAGGCAAGTATTAACACTCGAGGATAATTGAACCTTCATCAATGATCGATTTTTTCTCCGTGGACGTAACTATAGAAGAGCACGTGATGCCGTGTTCAGATATAAAATTTCACTTTCTCATACTTCAGAAATATTGTGACTGTGGTTTGTGTTGAGTTTCCTTTTGGAAATTTCCATCGAAATTACATTACTTTCCATAGACTATCAATAAAAGCTATCAGGAAATTCAATGTTCTCCACATAAAGGTTCTCTTGAACTGCCAAAGGTACTCCAAATGCAATAAGTATTCCAAATAACATGCAACCACTCTAAATGCACCCACCATTAAAATAAAATAACTCGCTGCTAGAGGAGCATCACTGGGTGGTGCAAAACCCTAGTCATATTTTCTATACCAAACAAAAAACATTATTGCAAATATGGGTACAGTATATGAAAACTCACAAGAAAAGGCTGGGCTAGGTGGCTAGGGCCCACGAGAGACAAGTATAGTGGGCGGCAGTACACGAAGTTAGCTGGGACCTAGTGCTTCTCAACACAGCATCCTGATATTTGATTGCGTTGTAGCAGCTGCGCGAATGAGAGTGTATGAGCTTACAAACCGTACATTTGAAAAGCAACTCTAGATTATTATTTTTTGGATTCAAGGGAAATGACTATCCCACAGGGTTGCCACCTTTGAAATTAACCCTTTCAGGGCTGAGTTTCGAAATACGTCGCAAAAAATGCATATTGAAATCATGAATTTTTAATATCTTATATTATTTTAGTATCTCATTGTATGAACCATAACTATGGTTCATACGCTATGTCATCATACGCCTAGAAAGGGTTAACTAAATATGGACGTATGGAAACATGGACAAATATTCCCGGGCACGTGAAAATAGAATGCCATCCTCTCATTAGGGGCCAACCACCTGGAATCCTGGCTTATGAATACTTGTTCTCATAGCCTAGCCTGAAATCCTGGCTTTAGACCAGATCCACTCCATACAGTCTGCACCAAAGCATAGTCTTGGTTATC